AACAGAATGAATTTAAATTGAATTTTGAATTTTATTTGGTTTAAATTAAAGTTATATTGGTTTAAACTAGATTTAAATAAATTTGAAAAATTTAAATCTACATTAATCCAATTTTTTTGTTTTAGATTTATTTTTCGATTTATTAAATTCTGGTAAATCTAAGTCGATCATTTCTAGTTCGTATTTGTGCACGTGAATATTTAATTTTCCTTCACCACCATTATATGTGAACAGATACCTCTATGGTCGATTATTTTCGCCGGATTTTTGCCAGTTTGGCTGTAAAATTCATCCAGCCGGTTGCTGGCCGTACCGGACCGGATAGAAAAAGGCTGTCCGGTTCCAACTCTGGCTGCTACTCGATTGGCACCGTGTGTTTTTGGGAAAAATGATGCATGTAACGACGATGTTACTGCCTACCCAAAATACAAAGGGCATTAGTGTTGTGGCTCCATCTTTGTGAAAAAGCATGGTGTTGCATTGAGGAACTCAATCGCTATGGTTACAGAGGAAATAAAGCGATTCTAAGAACTACAGCTCAACAAAACAAATAAACTATCTCTCGATGTGCGTATGTATAAATGATCGCGAGCAAATAAAAATAACGAAAAAAGAAATATCAATATGAAAAACTGTTGTGACGCAGATGACGTTCCTTCATAGGCTTTTAGAAGCTTATTGCGAATTCTAAACTTTAGGATCTCACGATTCATCCCTTGTAATAAACCCAAATTCCTCGATCGGCAAGATCTTTGATTAAACTTTATAAAAATTCGTTATTGTCGCGAAATAGTTTTCCTCATTGAGCAATCGATTGTAGATTTGAATTCCTCGAACTTGAAAATCTTTTAGGGTGTGAGGTGTAGGTGTCATAGTCTTCCATCTACACTCCACATCCAATATGTACCTGTTACAAATATAATTACTAAGTGAAAATTACTGACATACTGTATCTTCAATAACAAGTTTCGTCTTTTCGTTCTGTTTACTCAACACTATCTATTTTTCTCTTGTTGTTCTGTTTCTACATGGCTATGATAAATATATCAAAGAAAAAATAAAAAAAAAAAAAAAAAGGTGAACACAGACACCGTATGACAACCTTTTTGTTCTTCACTTCCTTTTTCTACTCCCACATTCAGGTAAAATATTACAAAATCATGACACACTGTCATTAAATAGGTGAAAATAAGAAAGTATTAAATTCTAACACACATATTACAAACGAAACTATATTCGAGGCTGAAATGATTACTACGTGTCTTCATACATTACCTGTGGAACTTGTCTACAGAATTCTTGATCATTGTCATGAACTAGAAATTCTTTGCTCACTCTCTAACGTCTGCACAAGACTCAATGCAATCATAAGTACATATTATCGGTATCAGGTAATCTTCATTTTTTCTTCACATAAGAAAACATCATATTTATTCTTTACACTATTTTCTGATAATAGAAACAATATACGAACAGTTTAATAAGACGTTCAGTTCTTTCATATATTCCCTTTAAAAACAAGAAAAATCTTATCGTTTATAGATGCATCATTCATTCTGTGAAAACCTACGAAAGAATCATTTTAACTTTTTCTTTGGGTCTTCTCTTGTGAACTTTGCTTTGATTGAAATGATTCTAGAGCATAATTCGTTAAAAATCATAGACAGTTGAACCAATACTTTCGATTCTGCTTTGAACAAACTTTTTTTCTTGTAGTCCTCGTTTCGACTCAGTACTTTTTAATTTTTTTGATCCCAATCTCGAGACTATAACTATTTTTGTACATGTGTAATGTTTAGATAAATTTGCTAGTTGCTATTCAATAGAAATTGAATATGCTTATCCTTATTTTGTTTTCGTTAGTTATTTCATTACATTGCCTACTAATACCAATGAAATAAATTTTATTTCAATAAAACATTAAAATTTGTTTAGACATATACCACATTTCAATTCGAATGTGGGAAAATTGACAAAGAAAAACTACAACATCTCGCTAATGTATTACAAAATAACACGGTAAGATAAGATATCTATTGAGATATCAGTAAAAAAAATTAATCATGCAATATAGACAATCACTACACTATGTCTTTCATGGAGCATAATTGGCAATGAAGGATTACAATATATTGCTAATATATTTAAAATGAATACAGTGAGGAAAGAATTTCTGCTTATATATATATATATATTATATTTCTAAGATTATCATTCACATAGACACTTACGACGCTTAATCTTCAAGGAAATCGTATCGATGCTCAAGGTGCACAATATTTAGCTAATATACTACAAAACAATACGGTGCGATAATTCTCTACTTTTTTTTACCATAAAATTTACATTATTATTCGAAATAGACACTTACAACACTGATACTTTCAGACAATAATATTGGTGGTGAGGGTGTTCAACATCTGGCTAATGTATTAGAAAGCAATAGAGTGAGAAAATTTTTCTACTTACCTATTACATATTCATTATAAACTTTCAATATAGACTCTCACAAAACTTGAGCTCGAATGCGCTGAAATTGGTAATATCGGAGCTCAATATCTGGCAGAAGTATTAAAGAAGAATACAGTAAGATAAATGATCTAGTTTTTTATCATTTATACATCATGATTATTCTCAATATAGACACTTAACATATTGAAACTTGCTCAAAACGTAATTGAAGCTGAAGGAGCAGGATATTTGGCTAATGCATTACAAATAAACACAGTAAGAAAATTTTTTTTTCATAATTATCTATTAGATATTTAATACTATTATTTTTACATAGACATTAACATCACTCTGTCTTAGAAATAACAGAATCTATGCGGAAGGTACAAAATCTTTGGCTGAAGCATTACAAAGAAATACTGTGAGTTCAATTTTCAAAACATTCATTATATATCCGCAACAATACTATTTTTCGTAGACACTTACAACATTATCTCTTGCTGGAAATAAAATTGACGATAATGGAATACAATATATCGCTGATGCACTCAACGTTAACACTGCAAGAGAAGCTCTCTATTTCAGTTTTTTTGTATACTTAATGTCATCATTTAACATAGACCCTTACAACACTCAATGTCTTCGGAACTAGTTTTGGTAATAATGGAATGCAATATTTAGCTAAGGCATTAGAAAAGAACACAGTAATACAAATTTTCTTGTCTTCTATCATATATTCATCATTGTTATTTAACATAAGACACTCATTATACTAAATATTGGTAATAATTCTTTCGGGAATGATGGATTTCAGTATCTGACCAATGCATTGCAAATCAATAAAGTTAAACATTTTCTTTTTTTTATAGATCATTCATTTAACAGTGCTATTATGATAGACACTTAAGACACTGTATATTCAATCGAATAATATCAAGGATCGAGGAGTACAATACTTAGCTAATGCATTGTTACATAATACAGTAAAATAAATTCTTTAGTCATCTATTACATGTTCATCATTCTAATTTCCTACAGACACTTACAACATTAGATCTTACAGGAAACGATATTGATGAGATAGCACGCCAACATTTTATCAATGCATTGCAAATTAATACGGTAAATTACGTTATCATTTGACTGTAAAACATCAAGATACTTACACAAGATGTGTTAGACGTCTATTCGCTTGTAAGATCTATATTTAAGGAGTGAATATCAAAATTCAGAAGTCTAAGAGTTCCAATAAACTACCAAGAATCTACAGAGAGATGTCATATGCATGAAAACAGTTATTCACGTTGGTTTCTTCTTTTTCCTTCTTAGGTATGAGTATGAGTGAATTGACGATTCCTATTCACACCATACTCATTCTAGTCAAGAAGATAGGAATAGAACCTCTGTTATGATTTCAATATCTCAACAGAGAAACAGCGTTAGAAGCTAAGATGTAGTCAAAATTTCATTGAAATTCATGAAATCAATTGAATAAATTGTGCATTCTTTTTATAAGGTTCCGTTAATCAACCTTTGTCTATATTTGGTTATAGATGAAAATTTCATTTGAAAAGTCGAGTATCAAAGGATAATCTATTTCACATATTCTAGTCATATATACGTCTGATATTATTTGTAAGATTGAGGATATTTTGCAACAATGTTATCTATCTCATACTTATTGTTATTGTTGGTAACAGACACTCACGACGCTGAATCTTGGATCAAACTTCAATGCATGGCAGCAACCTGTGACTAATATTGTTTCAAGATAATATAGAAGTACAGTTTCACGATCAAATTATTGATAAATTTTGATTTGTTTGATATAATATAATTCATATCATAATATGCTTCAATTTCTTAAAAAAAATGTCGTTTTTTTTTTGTATTTTATTCATAATACGAAAGACATTTGACTCTTAAATATATTCTTATCGTTTAAAACAAGTTTAATAAGAGACTTAGTAAGCGAATAGACGCATTACTCATTACAATTTATTTCTCTTCAGAATGTGTCATATGAGTCTGAATAACTTAAATCTCTTTAAAAATTACAAAGAAATTAATTGAAATGAAGAAAATTCAGCACATTTTGAGAGAGTATGCTACGATCTATGAAAACATAATACAAGTAAACAAATTACACAGAGCATTTATATGAATTTTTGTTCTTCTCTCGAATTATTCATTTCAAAATGTTAAAACCATAAGCTTAAAAATAATAAGAAATACACACTATTTATCTCTGTAAATCTTATAGAAATATAAACATACTTAAAATGTAGTATAAATAAATTTCAAAAAAAAAAGAAAGCGACTGCCATCCTCCAGCTCCATCACTATTTCCATTACAAAATGATGATTTCTTATGTTGTTTTGCCTAATCTAAACCAATGTTAGTTGAAAATGTATAAACAAAAATATTTTAAATACTATTTATATGGCAAAAGTTGAAGTATTCAAGTTTTAAATTTGAATAAAGATTATTATTGATGAATGTTCCAGATCTAATCAATGTCATTTATATGTTTAAATTATGAAAGATCAATAAAAATGAGGAAACTAGTAAATATTTAATTATCAACACACGAATAACAACATTATTCTTGTTTTGATTTTAATTCAAAACAAAAACCATGTAGAATGAATATTCACAAGGGACATATTTTTTTTTTTTGCTATCAAACATTCTTATAAATGAACTGTCAATCGCTTAGAAGAATTTCAAAGATATATTTTCTTTCAATAAAATAAAAAAAAGCAATCCATTATATTAATGAGATATACATTATTTCATTGACATTCAACTTATAAGAACAACGACAATAGTATTCATATTTTCTTTTTCTTTTTTTTGTTTTTCCTCATAAGAAAGAAATCAATTAGAAATAATATTTTATATCATAAAAACGAACAAAATTCCATGGTTACATTTAACAAATAAATTCGAAATGCTCAATGTACAACAGTCTATATGTCATTTTCATTCAAATAATCATTATATATCATATATATGCTTGGTCTTCTATTCCTTCATATTGTCTCATACATCATCATCATCATCAACCATCTATAGGAAATCATTTATTACGTATTGAATATTCAATTCATAATGAACATATATGTGAACATAAATGTTCAATTAATCATTTATGTTCAATGGCAACATATAATCGACAATATCATCGTTGTCATCTATTTCAATATCATAATAAACATTCAATATCACATCCATATCGATTAAATAATGTTTATTCAACATTTGCTGATTGTTCAGGAATATTTTCTTTATCTCATACAACACAAAAACGAATATCAATTGTTCATTGTGATTATGATTCGTATATATATATATATATTTTTGTAATATAATATTTAATTTTATTTCAAAAATAGATTACCATGGCAACGTGCTCTAAGATCACGTTCAATTATATTTCAATCTTATACATTAATTGGTATATCATATTTACCTTGTCAAGAACTTTGTTCATCTGTTCGACATTGTGCTGCTGTACAATATCAAGTAAAATTATTATTATTATTATTTTTGTTTTTTGGTATTATATGATAGTATATAAAAATTAATTTAAAAAAACAGGCACGTGGTTTATATCGAAATCGATGTCGATTATTACGTTCAGCTAAACCATGGGATCTTCTACCAAGTAAATCATGGACTGTATTTGTTAAACGATCATGTCATGTAAAAATTAGTCATAATGAACTTTTTTATCGACATCATCAACCTTTATGTAATTTTAAATATGTTGGTCAAGGTCAACAGTAAATGTTTATTTATATGAAAATATTATTATATTATGATCTTTTTTTTTTTTACAGTAAACATAATCAAGGAATGATTCATACATTTCGTCATATATCCGAAATTCAATGTCAATATTTATGTTCAAAAATAATTAATTGTGTTGTTCGTAGATGAATTTATTATTATTTGAATTTTAAATTAACAAAAAAACTAAAATAACGTATTTTCTTGTTTTTAGGGTATTGAATTTGTTGAAAAACAATCTCGTAAGTTAAAAGTACCAACAAAATATATTCTTATGTTAATATTTAATAATCGGGTTATGAGTTATATCGATTCAAAATTGAATATACTTTCTCTTTGATACTCTAGATAATTAAATATTTATCTTAATATGATTATATTTCATATTATGTGAAATATTAGTGTAACGAACTAATAAGAAATTCAAATTCAATGACGATATTCTTTCATTTAGAATACTAAATTTTGTTGAGTACATTTAATCTTTTATTCAATATTACACAAGAAAAATCTTAAAGAATTTGCTCAAGCTAATTCTTCTTTTTTTTTCTTCAGCTGTCATATTTACCTTTAAATGAATGAAATAAATAAGTAGAGACAAAGTGTTGTTACTACACGATTTCAGAAAGAACGATAAAAACGAGTCAAGTACAAACATATGAGAATAGAATTAGATAAAATAATTTTTTTTTAGTATGATCTTCATCGAAATTTAGTAATCTGTAATTAAGCAATATTCTGAAAAAAATACCTGCACTATATATATATATACTATAACAGATTCAAAAATAATGAATCTAAAAAAAAAGATCGCTGAAACAAAACTCAAGAATATAGATTATCGAAAAAGAAATTGACAATGAACTACGCAATCTCATGTTCTTATGAACCATAACAAATATGATTACTCTATAGTAGCCTATGACTTAGAAAAGAGATTATAAGCTCAGATTTTTATCCTTCGTTCTCCACATATTGTAATATATAACTATTAATCATCAAATAACATATATTTGAAAATAGATTCAATTGTGAGAAAGAACAAAAAAAAAAAAATCTAATTACACGATTCGAATCAGAAAATTTCATAATCAAATTTTATTCAAATATTTTTTTTTTTTTTTTCATATCTAAAAATCAATAAAATATATATATCCTATAAACTTTCATACATATAGATTGTTTATTTATTTCTTAAGAATGTATTCTTCTTTCTTCGAATTTTCTTCGAAATGATGGTTCTATTGATATTAAAAATCATAAACATCATCATATTTATATGAAAATATCATGTAGTACAACTAAATATATTCAATCTGAACAAAGTTTATCAAAATGTTCAATAAATAATCAATATTGTAATTGTCATCAAAATCCATGTCATCATGGTATATGTTTATTATCTCAACAAAGAGAAGGATATCATTATATGTTTTGTAATTGTTATCATGGTTATACTGGTCATTTATGTGATCAACATCTAGATAATAAATGTCCATGTTTAAATGGTGGACAATGTCTTAATGATTATTCCTCATGTATATGTTCAAATGGATATGATGGTGATTTTTGTCAGATAATATCGGATAAAAGATAATAAAAAACATCTATATATATATATTTTTTTGTTTTTGGAGCAAAAATTTTATTTTATTATTAATTAGTATATCATATATGTATATATATTCAATGACCTGTAGCAAATATCATTCTTACAGCATATTTTAAACAAAAATTTGGTGCTTGACCATTTCGACGACAATATCGATAAAGAATATTTGCATTACGTTGTGAACGTTTGACAATTGTTGATCGTCTAGATCGATTTTGTTTCATAATATGATATGATGATGATGATGATTGTAAAATTGATGGAAAATTTTTTACATTTGGATAATTGATATTATCATCATTATAATCATTCAAATAAATATATGACTGGAATTAAATAAATCATAGTAAGAAAACTAAAAATAAATATTTTACCGAGGAAATTGTAATAATAAGGAAAAAAACGACAAACAGGCACCATAACTATAGTAAAAAAAAAAAGTTTTTTGTTTTTTTTTTAAAAACATTTCAATTAATTTACTTTCATGATCGTCTAAGTAAAGATTTTTTGAGTTAAAATTAGAATATGTGATAATACCAATCGAAACCGATAAGTTGTTCTTAGTTCTTGTCGTGAGACCATCACATTATGATAGAAACCATTCTTCTTTCCTTTTTTTTTCTCTTCTCTCTATTTTTTTTTCTTCTTCTTCTCTTCATTGTTCTTTTTTTTTTCTTGACTGCTCAAAATACTTCATTTATTATTATTGACATAACTGATGAAAACAAAATCAAATATAAATAATGAAGAGTTCAAATGTCAACGAAAATATTTTTCAATCTACTATAAAAAAATAATAAAAAGATAGCGGTTTTTTTTTGTGAATTATTTGATCTAGTTTGTATTTTGTTTTTTGTTTTGCTTATTAAAAATTTTTGCATATGCAATCTTTGTTTCAATGATATTTGTCTTTGCCACTTAAAGAACTATTACAATTGCTATATAATAGTAAAAACAAGAAAAAACGTGAGTAATCTAAAGATGACTTCTCAGTAGATCTTTTTTCCGTTAGCTTTGTCATCTCAATTTCCTTTTTCCTTCTCATTCTCTTTCTTCAATATCTGAGTATTTTGATTGTAATATGTCTGCATGCATACGCTCGAACAAAAAACTAATTATCTGATTCATTTACGTATCATACTATTTCCTTCCCGTTTTCTATTGTTTGTAAAAAATCAATGTTAAGAGATCGATAGTGATAAGATTGACAAACGAAAATAAACTAATATAAAAAACAATAAAAGAATATCATTAATGATGAATTGAATATAAGAAAGAAAGACTACTAGCATAAAAAAAAACAAACAAAAGAAATGAAGATATTGTTGTTTCCGTACTTAAGCCGGTTCAACACCCACTCGTATTGTATATATCTAATTCTCCATGTGAATATATTATTCAATAACGATGAATTCCTTTGAGATTTTATATAAAAGTCAAATTTTTTATGTATAAATGGCATGCTATTTTTATTATATTTTTCATTGAGCTGATTTTTTAACATTTGATAATCAATAATCATTAAGCTTTCAACTATAAAATCATGATTTATTATTATTTTAATTTCATATCATTAGTATATGAATTTGAGATTAAACTCTTTTTTGATATGGAAAATAAAACATAATCTACATAGTAATAATCTAGATGTAGATCACTAATTCAATAGAATATTCATGTAAAAAAAGAAATATTTATGAACATTAAAAAAAAACATGAGAATCTATACAACGAAAGACAAACAAATATGATTGATTTTGATTGAAAGTATTCATATGTATGTTTCAACTTGCATTACTTTTAAGATTTATACTAATAATTCTTAGTGGAATATATATATATATATGTCAAAAAAGACGCAAAGCACTTGATGTACATAATGATTTTTTTTTTCGTAAGACTTTTTCTTTGATCAGATTGTCATGTTTTTTTTCTGTGAAATGAAAATCTAAATGTTTCTAATAATATGAATTGCGTTTTTTTTTTGTATTCAAAAATCTTCATTTTATAATCGATCATTCTTGATGATCAGAATATGTCAAGTAAATACAATCGTTATCTATTGATGATCAGTAAATGTAAATGAGTTTAACAAGAGACACTAATAAAACGTGCATAGAACCAGTAAAATATTATATTGTTATTTATCATGATCGAAACTCATTGATTGATTGTTTTTTTTTGTGCATTACATGTTCGTTATTTTACAGCATGTTAAATATTTGTCATTATCCTATGAACGATGATAATAAGGTTAATATATAAAAAAAAAATGTTTGTTGATTATTTGAGAATAATAGAAAAAATTTTGAACTTCAACTGAAGTTAATGGTTCGTATAGATGTTGGATTTTAGATGAATATTTTTACTTTATTATATCTAATGGATTTCGATAGATTTATCAACAGGTGCACAAATATATTGATAGAATCTATAAGAATTTTTTCGTTCTAAAATGATTTTAATAGGCTATGATGTCAAGTATAATTATGTAGAATGTTTTTGAACAAGTCACGACTTCTGAGAAAATAATAAAACTTAATTACCTTCAAAATAACCATCATGTCGAGTCATGATAAACTCATACCATTTCACTCATTATCGTTAGTTCTTTGTCATAGAATTGGATCGAGTCGGCTCGTCTGAAATCGTATCGATATTGATTTCAACTCGAATTGTTACAAATTTGAATGTTCATCATTTGCTTGACCTTAATAGCTTTGATAAATATTCATACAGTTACAACATTCTTTTTCTTATGATTTTCATATTGTTGGATAGGAACTTTTATTGTAAAATATAAAAATAAATTCTATATTATTTTTACTTCAAATTATACTTAATTCAAACGAAAATTACAATATATGTTTTTTTTTTTTCTTCTTCTAATTATCTCAATCGATTTTTAGAAATCCAATTAAAAAGAGCTCCTTGACATTCATACATTGCTTTCTTCAATGATATATTTGTTTTTGAACTTAAATCAGATTGTATATATTTTATTTTGTTAGAAAATAATATTTTTGATTTTTGCCAATGACGACGAACAATTAATAAATTATCATCAAGTAATTGTTTACTAAGATCATCTGTCATTATTATACCATTTTCACTAATTATATGAAATGATATTGAAGAATTTACATATGAATTATGATATTTATTTAAACGAGTAAAACCACGTGAATTATCATATGAACAATATTTTGACGGATGTTGACGATCATGTTCCGATGTGCATATTTCTCGATGTTTTTCATTTTGTCGACGAAGAGATAGGAGAAATGAGCGAGAATTAAAATCATGTGTAAGCACATCAATAGATAATTCATTGGACAAATTATTTGGATGCATGATATATGTAGAGAAAATGTATTAGAAATAATATTTCGCGCTCTTCCATTGACTAAACATAAAAACATTTCAAATCTCGATTTAGATTTTACTTCTTTGTTTTTTTCTTGCACGTAATAAAAAAAAACTTCTTCGATAGGTTGCGGTGCGTCAATTGATGACTTTGATCACACTGAATTCAATTCTAATGCCTCATTTGTACCTAGATTATCTCCAGCACAACGCCAGCAGAAACAACAAGAAATGACAAAAGGTTTTTCCAGTGCATCAAAAATTTTCGCAGGCTAATTTTTGTTAAACTCTATGTTTAATTGAATATCTTGAATTTTAGCTGTAAAAAATGTTCTTATTATATTGGTACACTAATGAACAAACTATTGCCGAGCAATTACAACGAAGTTTAACAAATCAAAACTTTGCATGCTATATTCTAACTAAGACAACATCACAATCCATAGTTCCTCGAGCTAATCTTATTCGATGATGTCAATGAATGTAATATTCTCAATTGAACAGTTGATGATGGTACAACTGTTGGAAAATTGGTCTATGATGAATTTATTTCGAAAAATCTAAATGTTGGATTAGACAATCTTTCAAAGAACAGATCCAAAGTATAGTATAAGACGATGTATTGTATTTGTACCAATTTTTTCACCTCAACTTGAAAAAACACCAATTTGTCGAGCAATATTTGAAGAAGCTGGTCGACTTCTAAAACCAATTGTACCTGTATTAGCTATCAAAGACTGGAGATCTGAAGATTGGCTTGGTTTAACAATTGCTAGATGTACTTTTTTTCGAATATTTGATAAAGAAAATGCATATAAACCATTCTATGATAGTAATCGTATATGACTGACTTCCGAGTTGAAGTAAATTATGAAGATAAGTTCCTAATTAAAATCTTTCTTCTGAAAACAAAAAGGTAGCCTGTCGGCCGGTATGGATATGAAAGCACCATCACCCATACTCGACGAATATGGATTACCAAAACGAAAAGAACTCGATTGTATGATTACGTAATTGAGACGAAGTCAAAGAAACTTTATTTTGTGAATATTTTATATGTAGTTATCAATGGGATAGTCAACGGCTTGTTCGTAAATTTTATGAAGATATGTCAATGCGTGAAATTAGTACATGGTTTGATATTTGGTGTTCAATGCAAGTCAATACTAATAAAGCCATGGCTACAGGTTTATCTATTGAAAAAGAATTTTGTTTGCTTTCTCAATATATTTGTATTTGTTTGTTAGGTGTGGAATGTGCTAAAGTATTACTTGTCTTTCTATCTAAAGCTTATATTAAATCTGCTAATTGTAAAATGGAATTTCGATATGGAGTTAAGCGTGGAAAAGCATTTTTTGTTATTCGAACAGAACCAAATATTCAAATGGAACAATGGATAGAGAAAGTTGCTATAAAGTATGTACTCGGTGTAATCAACAATATGATGAATATGATGCAAAGAGTGGTCGCAAATATAATTCAGAATATTATATAGGTAGTAATATTATAGAAAATCGTTGGCTCTATTGTCGACAACAAGCAAAAGACTCACAAAGTTGCTGTTCTTGTGACCAATCGGATATAGTAACATACATTCAATCATTTTCTTTTTAATAAAACATACATCATACTTGTAATGTCTTATGTACAAATCATACGTGAGTGATTTCAATCAGAAGATAATCCAAAGAATGATCGGTTTCAATGCAACTTCATACATCGTTATATAAAGCGACTTTGCTTAATATGTCACCATATTGCATCGAGCGTTTTTTCTCACTTTAATAAACATCGAAAGCATGATAGTTTTGCTTGAAAATAATTTAAAAAGTAGTGCATAAATCGATTGAAATACGTTTTTGTGAATTTATTTCTATATTGAAAAGATGAAGTACAACACATCGTACAATATGAATATTGATATTCAATATATTTTTCAATCTATGTGTTACTCACTCGAGCTATTCTGTATCTCAGTGTGTTTGCACTATATTCTTCACGTCTTTTAAATTACTATCGGTTTATCAATATATGCTATCGAAATTTAGTTTATCTCAGCAAACTCTCACCAAAACCTAGAAAAGATCTTTAAATTTATTTTTATTTAAGTCGTAGGTTTTTATCGATGTTTATATGTCTTGAAATTTGTCATGGCTCATAAATGTATTAAGTTTTATTGAATTATGTTTCAACTAACAATAATTAAGAAGTTTTTTGTTTATGTATTCCATGTAGTAGAAATAACTTTCTGCTAATAATGTAGCAGTCATTGGTGTATCCATTACATTAGAATATGATTAGTGAAAATAAATACTCTATGTACTTAAAGATAGAAAATACGTCTGGTATTTCTCTTAATGGAAATCAAAATTAGAAATAAACGAAAACTAATTTGTAGGCTTTCTTCTAATTAAAAACAAAATTTGCCTAAGTTTGTCATTTAATCAATGTTATGTCGAACATAGAATTGTTTTCTGATTCTTTATTAAAGTTTTTTATGATTTACTTTTATAATACAAGAAACACTATTGCAAAAGAAGGATGTACGTACTTTAAAATTCATTTCACTGATAAAAAAGAAAAACTCTGTTTGGTTTAAACATCTGTTAATGATGGTGGATACGAGCCCAATAGATTGAATGAATGAAGTTGTTCAATGATTAGTGCAACCTTAGATGTTCCCATTATGAGATCGTTCAATGTGCTCTTTGAAGTTCTTGAACTAGTATGCTGTGTCTTCTACTCGGTAATATTTACTTGCTATCGGAAAGAAGTAGTATATTTGTTTTTCTAACCCGATCAAGAGTTGCTTCGAAATGTGAAGGTAGTCGTGAAAGCAAGTACTTCTGTGAATTCATCGAGAATAACGTCCAAAGACGAAACTATTTGTTATGGACAATTTATATTGAAATTCATGTCAAAAATTCAAATAACAACTAGTGAAAAGCATTGTCATGAATAAAGATATGATTTTCTTGAAGTTACAGAAAAGAACTAACAATTCATTATTTAAGTGTTCTTCCTTTCAACTCACTAAATTAATCGTTAATACTTTCTAATTAAAATTTTTTTGATAATATTGACCACTCTAGTGTTGACCTTTTTTTTTTTGCTTTCGAAAATTAATATTTATTAGATTTAAGATGTGTTCTTGTTTATCTGTATCGACTCGAGGTTATTATTTCCTTCCGATCTACTTCCCTAATGCTACCAAAAAATATATTAACTATTACGCATTTCAAAATAAAAGAAAGGTGGGGAATTTGTGGAATAATTTTTGATAGGAACAAGATACGAGATCTGTTTTTTTTTCCTATTGTTTAAAAGAAGAGATAAAACTGCAACGAATCGTATATACCAGATTATGTTTTAAGGTTTTCTTAGCATGTCTCGTCAAAATTTTAAAAAATTGAAGCTTTTGCAGGGATGTACAAGGTGGATTTTTCGTCAAAAAATCAGAAAAAAGTAATTTAAAAAAAATGCTGTTAACTCATGATTAGCTAAAACTTACAACATCGAACTTGCATAATTCATAGATCTTTAATTAATGATTTTAGTGCATTCCTGAAAATTAAAATTCTAAAACTTTTACATTACACAATATTTTGTTTTTAATAAACTTGATGGCAGATTCTGAAAAAACTTGTTAGAAAAGTCTGGTATAAACGATTTGATGCAGTTTCATCTTATCTATTAAATAGTGAAAACCATAGATCTAAATGTTGTTTCTATTAGAATCTATTCCAAAAATATTCTCCCTTGTTTTGTTTTAAAATGAATAATAAGTTCTGTGTTCCTCGTACGATTGTTACATTTTATTTGAGATATGTTCGTTTTTTTTCATGAAAAGTTTGAAATCTTTGTTCACGCTTTTTTTTATCGTGCAACCTTAAATTCTCTGTAGGCCTTCATTCTATATATTGAAGGTTTTTTGCTTGACAGAGTATCTCAACGTGCAGGATTTGACGGAGACCCTTTTTTTGAAGTAAATTTTGTTTCTACTATGTATAGGAATACTCTTACAATTAGAGCACCATAGTTTTTTTGAGATTTCTTCAGACATTCAACATTCTTTTTTTTTCGCTAAGAAGGTAAGAATTTTTAAAAATGGTTCCATCATGCCATGCATCCTGGTAGGTTCCTTTACACGAAAACAAAAGTTAAGTACATAGAATGAAGGTGTTCAGATAATTTTAAGTTGAAAAAAGGGCTATTTTTGATCTTTGCTTATTGTATATCTCTTGAAAACGTCATAGTATGAAGCTGAAAGTTTTAGATTAGCCTTTATACTAGTTTCCATATATTCTAAAAACTTCATGTGATTTGAATATACCTGATTTAAAATAGATTTTTCAACTGTAGGTTTGCTCAGATTTTAAAAAAAGTAAATATTCGACATAGCCAAAAAAATCTATTGAATAATAAGATACAGAAATTTACGAGAAGCTTCAAAAGTTCTTTAGTATTTGCCGAAACTTATTATGAAAACAAAGGTAAATTAGCCGAAAATTACCGATGAGAAAAGATTTCCAGATGATTAAGAGCTTTTGAGCCTACATTTTGCCCAGTGTTAGAGGATCTATCAAATACAACAGCCGCCAATTTCAGAAATTTTTCAAACTTCAAGTGGTTTTCAAATTGATACTTTGTAAAAAAAAACACAAGTTTTTTATCATCTCAAAACCGTTCCACATGAGTTACTAGGAAGATGTTCCTACATCATTTTGATAATTCCTACTCTTCACAAAATAACAACAAACTGTATAAGCTTCATTTAAAAAGTTCTGAAAGTGTTGTTATACTCAAAAGAAATTCATGTCCAATGTCGACTAATTCTGAAAAATGACTGTGAAATTACTAGACAACTACAGTAATTACAGAAATTGTTGAGTTTCTTCCATAAAGATCTTACTGTATTTTAATATTAAAAAAGAACACCTTATCTTTAAAAATATTAGAAATTTTAGAAATAACTGAGAAATTTCGAAAATTACTACTAATTGAAAAGGTAACGTCTTCTTCTTAATAATAGACTTGATTGAGAAATGAATAGAACAAATATTTAGTAATCTCTATATTTACTAAAGTTTCTCAGTCAATCCAACAATTTCTTATATTACCAATTTTAACGAAGTTTGACTTGAGTTTTTGCTTTTTATAACGCATGGTTGCAGAATTATGCTTATTTTTTTGCAGAGTGACCTTTTGTCAATACTTCAGTATTTTCAAACAGATAGTTTCTACATTCACGATCGATATTATAGTAGACTGTGAACTTTCTTGCTGTTATAGTTTTTCTATGAGAGCGTTTTTTGATATTTGATTATTTATGGGGGAAATTTACTGATTTTGGAAAACTTGAACACTTTAGTGGAAAAATCTGCTTAGACTATGTTCAACAAAAAAACCATGTACGACAGAAAAAGTAGCACAATATAATGCGATAGAGTAGATCTAAACTCATTACTCCGAAAGGAATGCAATATCTTGCTGTCTTCTTTTGTAAGACTAAGTTGATATTTGTCAAAACATAAGAGTTTATGCAGTATAGGATTGTTTTATCAACATATTGGGTGTGTGTATGGATGAAAAACAGATTCAGAGTCACATCCACACTCTCTAAAAAGCAAATCATTAGTATAAAAGAAAGCCATGACATATTCGATTTCTTTTGGAATAATGACTTTTTGGCTTGTATTGTAGACATATTTTATTACGAAAATCTTATTTGTGAAAACGCTTTTTATCAAGAACAAAAGTATTATGTAATCGACTTTATTCACAATAAATGTGATGTGAACATAGAATGCTCATGTTCATCTCGTCCGGGACAACCGTTGGCTTTTGGATGCTGGCTCTTATATTTGCGGATTTCGTCGTCACTAGTAAGAATTAAGTTTTATTTTCCGTTCATCAGTCATGACATCAACATATTATGTGTGTATGTGAAATTCTCCGAGTCGTTGACACTTGAATGCAAAATGAGTCATTCTATTAAGGTTTATGTTTTATTTGTTAGAGAAGCAATCAATTCGCGACAATATATATACCATCACTATCAGCGAAGATCTTCATTATATTACTATACAATGTTCTCTTTGTTTCTTTTTTTTTCTGCATGATGCTGCTGCTAATCAGGAAGAAAAAGAATATTTGTTTGTTATTGCAGACGTGTGGAGATATAAATCGATACTATTTAAACTAAAAAACACGACGATATGAGGTATTTAGCTTTTTACAGATCAATCTAGAAATTGAGATTAATGTCTGCTAACTAGTTCATAGTCTGAAGAACCATATCTCACAAGAGTATTAGTTGCTCTTAAGAAATGAGAATAAGACCAACAAGCTCATAGTGAAAATCCGAGTTACTTCTCTACTGATTTTATAATATAAGTATTTTTATATGAAAGACAGAAGTTTTTGAACATATTTGATATAATGTTACATTAACATAATAGACAATGAGAAAGACAGCAATAACTTGAATAGGAAAAGAAATCTAAAGATATGGACCCATGAATAGTAACAGAAAATAAATCACGAAGAAGTAGTTTAGAATTTTATACCTAACAAACTTATTCTGATCGAAACAGAGTAAGAAAACATAATTTGCGTCGAATATTTGAATGACCAAGAATGTTTAAAAAAACATTTGAAGGCATATATTGAAAGTTTTTCGTTCGAAAGAAAATCCATTATCATGTTTTTCTGTTGTTTATATAGACTTCAATATATATCTATATTGAATAGTATAATGGAAAATGCTGATGTATTTTGAAAAAAAGAGCAAGTTAATCTAGACACTTGTATATATGTTCAGCACAACCAAATCTATCATCTTCTGCACGTTGGGTTCAGAAGGGTGTGGGTGTAGATCTTATTTTAAACTTCATCCCCACCCACACCCACACCCACACCCACATCCAAACATGACACTTTGAGTTAATGATTTCTCCAGAAAAGTAATAGATTTGATTGTTTATAGGATTCCTTAATATTTATTCTCAAATAATTATCCAATTCATAATATTTAAATGTCCATCTTAGAAATGAACTCAGTTGTTTCCATTTACTATCAGTATGAGTGGGCATGAAGAGAAGACAACATCCAAATCCACATCTGGTTGAAGAAATGTGGATGGATGTTTCCAACTTGTTTTAAATCAAAAAAGCAATGGTAAAAGAGAAGAATGTTGATGTCTGTATTCTGATTTTGTTTCTCTCGCAGCTACATTTTTGTTTAAATAATTCTAAAATAAATTTTTAACAGCCTGTTTAATTATAATGCTATCTATCATTTGTGTTTCAAATTTAACCAGTGAATGAATGATCTTTTAATTGATTGTATTTCTATGGCTTCTAGTGTTTTCCAACTGGTATACTTTTTATACTAAATCATTATTTACCATTTTCAGCAAACGGATAGCTTCATCATCTATCTGTTCGCATTAATATGAACGTTGTTATATTTTCTCGTGTCTTCAATAGTGAATATAAACTTTTTCTTTTTCATTTTTTCTTATGCTGTATTTTTTGAAAAAGTCATAAACTGGGTTAAATCTACTTTTGAATTTATAAACGAGATGATCATGTGTTATAACACTATGCAAGAAAAAAAAATCAGATGAAACTGAATCTTATATGAACACTTAATTTAAAAAGCTTGCTCAACTGTAATTAATTTTATAGATGTTGACTAATAATATTTGTTTTCTTAGTAATCACTTCGAAAATGTAAATTAAATAAGTGTCAAATGCTGATAAACGTCAAAAAGATGATTCATATTATATTTTTTTTAAAATTAGCTTGTTTTCTTCTTCAAATAAAATTAGAGAGTATGAATGAATATTTTTCATACATGTCATTCGAAGATGAACTTTATCAGATGCACAGGATTCGTTTCTCTTTACTTGTTGGTTGTACACCCTCACGAGATGTTTTTTTTTTCTTTCTTTTTCTTTTTATTTCTTATGGTAGAATCAAGGAGTATGTTGTGAAAAAAGCTATTTTGATAAAGACGAACAAAAATCAACTCTGTTCTTTTCTTGAGGTGTGAAGAAAAACACCTATTGCTTGTGAATTTTTCTTTTTTTGTGTGCTTCACGTCTGTGAAACCTAGGAAGAAAAGAAAAGAAAAAAGTCTTTCTGGGAACAAAATCCTTTTATCTTTACCTGTGAAAAAAGATACCGAGCCGTCACAACAATATTTATTGTCGACAACTGCTATTGCAAGCCACCCAGTGTAGCCACTGCTCCACTACGCTTATTGAAAGCTGCTTAGCACTTGAAGAAATATAGACTTTCCATCTTTGAAGAAAAAAAACACATCAAACAAGTGTAGATTACCACTTACTGTTGTTATCTCTGTAAGTATGATTTCTCATCTTATTCTATGGTCTACAGCATAATGCAACCGATAATAAAACTTTCAAGCACTCGATCATTTCTTTACACGTCTAGACTTAAATCGATTCCATGACAGATGCTCCCGGGACACTTGCTCCCCGAACAGTTGCTCCCGCGACACTTGCTCCCCAGCGACAGTTGCCCCCCACGACACTTGCTTCCACGACACCTGCTCTCCAGTGACATGAAATGGCTTCACTTTCCTAGATTTACTTTCTATTTCTTATTCTGATGCTTTCAAGTCGTTTTGAACCTCATTCTTACACTAGGTAATGTTATCAGAAACTTTTCGTCTACATTTTTGAGTTGTATGTTGTGATCTTCAATGTATATAAGCTATATCGTTTTTTATGTAATAGAACAATAAAAAGTGACGAAGACGGCAAGGCATTAAAATGGCATCGAGCAAAAAACAAATCACCAAGCAGAGACGCAATTCAACCGCATCTGTAAGTCAGTATGAATAAGCTGAAGTGATACGAAATTTCTTCCATTTTAGACTAATACTTTATGGGATAAATTACCTGAAGTAAACTCTGTTTCCGTTGATATCGCAAATGACAATGATTTTCTTGATGAAAATGATCTCACAGAGAATGACATTGAAGACGAACTTGAAGCTGAAAATCATGTTACTAATTCACGAAAACCTTTACACAAAGGTTTTGCATCAAGCTCAAATCTTGAAAATATACAACAAAATACTCCGTTATGGGCTTTAAAAGAATATGATCAAGTTAAATTGATCGTTGACAAGACGCATGCCGAAGATGTTAAAACCGAGCTTCAAAGACGTTTATCCAAGAAAGGTATTCGATGGATGACAAATGATGACGAGCGGACTCGTTCATGGTATTTTGGTCTATCATTCGTACTCTTACAATTGGAACGTGCGCATCCGATGGATATAATGAGACTCACTTCTATTCGATCTTTTCCTTTCTGGCTTAGATTTAAAAATAAAATACAGCAACAACGACGTATCAAATCAAATTCTGAATACATTAAACCGATTCGATATGGATATTCGCCACCTTATCGTGTTTCTCTTCGTTATGGTGCACTGACTAAAATCAATGAATTTCGTTATTCAATTGAACATGCATGGTCAAACCAACCGAAAACTAGATGGTCACTTTTCGTAAAAAATGATTATTATGGTGGATGCATCGAATGGGTTATGGAAGAACCTAAAGAACGAAAAAAGAAACAATTATTAGCCATTAATGTTGATCGTACCATTATTATGCATTTGTTGCCAGATGGATTTGTAATGTACATTTGTCAGACATGTAATATGAATGAATTTAGTGCAAAAGAAAAACTCATCAATGTTGCCAGACGACAGAATCCTTCGCACAGTTTTCCTCGTCGTCCAGGCCCAATACGTCCATCATTTGGAGATGGTCGATTACCACGAAGACCTTCTTACGAAAAAGATAAACGTTCGAGCATACGTAATGGAATCTATTTTCCAACTGTTCAATTTGAGCTTCGCATCGATTCAGATCATTTAACCAATGAAAAAGCTCAAAATACAGTTCGACAAACATATACATTGCTGACAAAATTTTTCAGTTCACATAATATTACTATTTGTCATGGTACGATTGACTCACATCCAGGTCCACAAATCAATTCATTTCCCATTCTAAAATTACCAACTCTTATCATGAAATATTCATGGGAAATGCTTGTGAATATTGGCTATCGTTTACTAGTTCAAATCGACCAAAAATTTCGTGATGATCTAGATCAATTGAGTAAAGAGGAACGAAATGCTGATGATCTATTTTATCGCGTTTGTGTTTATCTTTCACGTCTGTTTACACTTGAACCTTTCGTTAATTTATCGGAAAAATTACATGATGCTGTAATTGAATCAAAACGTAAACGAGCAGATGCTACTTTTGGATTGATCAATAGTTTAGATTTAAAAGAAAATACAGAAACCTATGTACCATCAGTAACATTAACACCAACAACAATTCGAATAAAACCATTCAAATTATGTCGAACGAATCGAGTTCTTCGAGCTGAACAAGAATTTGGCAAAGCATTGGAACATTTTGCTCTTGTCGAGATTCGTGATGAAAATGGTCAACCATTACAAGGGTTTCATTTTCGAGACTTACATCATCTTTTTCTTGACTATTTGGAAAATGGTTTTACTCTAATGGGCAGTAATCGATATTATCGATATTTACATCATTCACAATCACAATTACGTGTCAGTCAATTTTGGTTTTATCATCATGAATCAGGTTTAAATCGATCATTTGACGAAGCTTATAAATGGATGGGCACATTTGACAAAGAACGAAACGCAGCAAAATATGCTTCTCGTGTAGCTTTGTGCTTTTCAACAACTACTCCAACTATTAATGTAATATAATTTGTTTTTGTATTACTATATTATTGATTATGAACAGTATTTTGATTGTCTTGTTTAGATAGAGAAGAAAAATGTTCAATACATCGACGACATCAAAACAAAAGATGGAAAACTGACATTCACAGATGGATGTGGTACTATGTCAAAACAATTACGAGATGATGTAAATGTTTGGGGATGTGTATGTTGAAAACTTGATTTTTCTCTTTTTGACAGATTCAAAAACAACTTGGCAAGCGATCCTTCAGTGCCGTTCAGTTTCGATATGCTGGTGCTAAAGGTGTTGTCAGTGTCGATAAACGACTGGGAAGTGGTCATCACCTATGTATTCGTCCCAGTATGAACAAATTCGAGAGTAAACATTGTTGTTTTGAAGTATGTAAAATTTCTGCACCACGACCACTCTATCTCAATCGACAAGCCATCCTTCTTCTATCCCATCGGCGCATATCTGATGCTGCCTTTCTTATTCTTCAACAACGTAATCATTTGACTCTTATTCAAGCTTTATTAAGAAATAATGATGCTAGAAATTTACTTGAGGAAAAATTACCATACTGGTTTTTACCCGATGGTGCAAAGATTGATTTTGTTCGTGAACCATTTTTTCGACAATTACTGATAGCTGCATGTCTTATTTCAATACGAGAACTACTTCGACGAACACGTATTCGTGTTTCACCCAATAAAGCTCGCAATATGTTCGGTATTATAGATGAGTACAATGTGTTAAAACCAGATGAAGTTTTTATTCAATACACTCGACGTAATGATCATGAAGATAAAGATGACAGTGACAAACGTCAAAAAACACGAATTCTTAGCAACTGTAAGGTTGTTGTCACAAAAAATCCTTGTCATCATCCGGGCGATATACGAACATTTACTGCTGTCAATCGTGAAGAGTTAAAACATCTCAAAGATGTTATTGTCTTTTCTCAACAAGGTGATCGTCCAGCATCCCATCAAATTAGTGGATCTGATCTCGACGGTGATGAATATGCAGTAATATGGCATGAAGATCTTGTTCCACTTCAAACCCCGAATGCCATACCTTTTGACTATGATTCACAGAAAGCATCGCCAGAACTTAATCGGCCTGTGGAGCGAAATGATATAAATGATGTTATACTAAAAATAGCTGAAAGTGATTATTTAGGACGATTGTCTAATTTACATTTGGCATATGCCGATCGTTACGGAGTCGACAGTAACGAACGACCAAACAAAGATGTTTTATCAACAATTGAACTAGCTGGAGCAATTAGTCTCGAAGTCGATAGTGGAAAAACTGGACAACATCCATTAGATGATAATCAGATACTACAACAAAAAAACGCATTAGGAGATGAACGACCAGATTTTATGGAAAATACCAACATGAAATCGTATCAATCGAAAAAAGTACTTGGTAAATATACATTTCAAAAGTATTTTAGAACGGAATAAAAGAAAAAAGAAAATTTGAAATATAATGGAAACCGCAAGAATCTTGAAATTTCTCTTGTATAAGATTTTTCATGAACCAAAACCATGCGCTACAATAAAAAAAATAATCTATGCATTTCTTTTTTTCTTATAGGAAAACTCTATCGTTCATCACGTCGAACGTTGCCTGGATGGAATAGACTTCTTCGACGACATCGTCATTTACGTCATTTACAAGTTCGAACTCCTGAAGATGATGAAATAAATGATGAAGAAGAACAAGAAGTAAATGCTGATGATATTCAAAAAAACATAATTACATTAGATTCATCTCTGCTTAAAACAACTTCGTCCAGACAAGATCAAGAACTATCAGCAATCGCATCTCAACTATTTTATGTATATCGGCAAGAAATGCTTGAAATTCTAAATTTATATGGACTTTCACATGAAAGTGATTTATGGTGTCGAAAATCAACGAATACTACTGGTGGAGAACTTGAAGATACAGCTTATACTCAACTTGAACAACTCGTTGCACGTACACGTGATGCTTTCTTCTTACGTTTAGTATCTTTCTGTCCAGACCCTGGAAATACCTGTAATGGAAATACAGCTTTCGAAGACTTAGGTCCAGGATGCCAAAAAATGCACAATGCCGTAGCCGCTGCATTGTATCGAGAATGTTACAGTGGACAAAATGAATCAGAACGAGCACCAATTCTAAGTTTACCATGGTTATTTACTACAGCACTTCTACAGACACGTCAAAGAGAATTACCATCAAAGCAAGGTTCACTTAGTATGGCAATGGAGGCTGCACTAAGCGATCTGATTCATAACCGTTTATTACAATTAGAAGGACTCACACTGACATTTTGCACATCGAACAATCGTCGAGTCAAAACAAACGTGCATTGGACTGTTTGTGTTTTTGTTGAAATTCTACACTATTGTATCGAACCAAAATCTTTTGTTTCATGGCCGAAGATACTCAGTCGTTTTATATGTAAAAGATGTTCCGGGCAACAGACTAATCCTATGGATGAATGGTCATTGGTCTTCGACGCCATAGAACAGGACGATATCTATGCCGTCACGCTTAGATCGCTCGAATGGACTGAGGATGACGATGAATTAATGCATTCCTATTTTGTTGAATTGCTCGAAATTTGCTTTGATCTTGGTCAGACTATGGCCGATGATAACAATGAGTATCTTCGAATGAGTGAAGAAATTATTCTCATACTCCAACGAGTGGCGCTCGACGAAACACTATTACCAGAAAATTGGAGATAATGCAATAGAAACAAACTTCAAATTTCACTTTATTATAAGAACTAGAAATGATAATTCACATAAAAATGAACTTTCACACTCAAATCAAAGCTAATTAATTTCTATTGAATTTATTACAGTGTTAAATCAAATATTTTTGAAATTTTCCTTTCATTATTTTATTTTAACTTCTTAAACAAAAGTGCTTATCATTATATGAAAAAATCGGTATATAATCCTTTACAATATGTATTGATTTGTTCGGCTTAAAATAATTCTTGAAACGTAGATTCAATATTTTTTGATTAAGCACTTTTTTTTGTTAATTCCTTGACCAAACGAAGAATCATATGAAATAAAATGAGTTTGTATGTTTGCTTTTATGTTTCTAAGCACATGCTAGATCACGTGCCCATATATTTAACAGGTGACGGCTTCTAATAAAGTTTGATTAAAGATAATGTGAGTCGAGGAATTCCAATCTGTAATCGGTTTTGTAAAAATTTTGGGTTTAAGTTCTTTTATCAAGGAAAGGCCTTTTCGCGAAAATAATAAATCTCCCTCGACTGAAACAACGATCATTAGAAAAAAAATCAAATAAATTTGTATGCATGTAAGCATGTTTGTTTGCAATCAGGTATATAGCCATGTGTTTTCATATATTTTTGAAACCTTTATGAGATAACTTTCGATATACGATAATGTGAGTTTTGATACGAAGCAAACACACATTTATTACGACTGATCTAAAGGTAAATTTGTGGCGTCAAACTGAAGAAAATCTAAAATGAAAATGTGAAGAACATGTATGATGCTGTGAGCAACAAATCCAAAGGACGAGTTTTAACTGAATATTAATAATGTCATTATGCCTGTCAAAGGAGAACATGTCATTTATTGTTTCAGAGAATATGAAGAACGAGAATTTCCTAATGTTTCAATTATTTAAAAAGAAAAGATTTCATACAACAGTTTTCAATAATTACGAATGAAATATGAGTAAAGAATTAGACAGAAGAGAGACATTGAGAATTAGTGTTGCATACTTGTGAGTCTCATTCTCACAATACTACCTAATATGTTGATTTCATTACTTTAAATTTATTCATCTTCTCATTATATTGACTACTGACAGTTCATGTTCAATATGTTTATAAGTAGTGCAATATTTATCGTGCCGGAAGTGACGTCCAACTGCGAGCTGTCTCTTAAGGTTGGTTTGTTTTTAAAATAGTCGTTTCTAGCAATATAATAAACAGTTCTTTGATACAAAGAGACATTTGAGTTAAAAAAAGTTATGGAACAAACTTAGTCAGTACTTTTACCTCATCCTTGCTATATAATGAATTCATTGTATAACCATGAATATAAAGTTTCATTTTTTTAAAACCGTTTCTGTTGAAAGAGCTAATTCACTTAGTCGAAATGTATAACGAAGGTCGTAGGTCGAATTAGCATTAGAATCAAATATAGGTTGACAAATATTACAATTGTTTCGGCATAACCTTTTCTCCGATCGATCGAAACAGATATCGTTTATGGAAGAGATAGAACCAATACAGGTTATTTGCCGATCTGCTAGTAGATTCGTTGTGGCCGATGTATCTTACTAAAACTTTTGCTCTTGTTATCTCATTAAAGATGTGTAATGAGAGTTTGTTGAAGGTTGACTCTTTGAAATACTTTCGAGAATAGAGAGTTAGAAAGAACGAAGTAAGAGCGTTGCAGTCTTTTTCTACTGTTTTTCAATCGCATAGAATATGAAACGAACTGTTGTGTAGAAGAAAATCGTTCATTTAAGCGAAAAAGCATTATGATTAAGATTATAGTATAGGAAATTTTTGATTGCAACTACATAATCAAGTGAAATATATGTCCTTCGTATAACATAAAACATATACTTCTATGGATTCTTTCTATGTAAGACTACATCTCATGTATTTTTTTTCTGACACAATAGCAAACTACAACAACACCAATTCAGTTACTCTCAAATATCTCAATATCGGAACAGGATAGATGAAAATAACTAAAACTTACATACAATTGTGGCATTGGCTAACTTTTTTTTGCTTATGTTTTAGAATTTTGAGACAATACCTTAATCGATAAAGGATTTGAAGAGCTTCCATGAAATAAAAAAATTATTTTTCGGTCATGAAGTTTCTGTCTAATCAGCGACACATTACTAGAAAGCTTTAATTATTCTCAAGCGTTATTTTTTTTTTTTGGTAGTAAATTGATTTTGTTAATTGGTGAACAGTATTGTAGAAGTTAATTAGTTACCAAATTTTGTATACAATATGTTTGTGTATCTTTTGAGACGTTATCAAAACCCTAGGAAAAAAATGACTTCTCGACCACAGATCAAGAGCAGTGCCACTTGAAAATAAATATTTTAAATCTAGGTCAATGTTACTGTTTTTTTTGTTGAGATGCGTTAAAAAAAAGCAACATGTCCTTGAAAAAATACTAAGAAAAATGACGACAGTCGCCAGCAACAAATAAACAACGAAGTGTTATTGCATATCGTTGATGTAATTCTCTACATAGTTCTTTTACTCGTTTTTTTTTTCTTCTCTTTCCTTTACTCCGTCGCTGTCAATTACTAAAAAACTCTTCAATGGGTTGCGGAGCGTCAAATAACAGCGTTGCTGACGCACAACTCAATTCTAACGCAGCTTTTGCACCTACGTTACCACCAACACAACAACAGCAGAAACAACAAGAAACGATAAAAAGTGCTCCAAGCACACCAAAAATGTCAACAGGTAATCTCTGTTAAACTAAAGTTAACCTGTGTATTGTATTAGATATTTTGAGTTTTAGCTGGAAAAAATGTTCTCATCACTTGTCACACTAATCAACAAAATATTGTCGAGCAATTACGAAGAGGTTTAACAAATCAAAACTTTACATGCTATGTTCTTACTGAGACAACACCACAATCCATAGTTGCTCGAGCTAATCTTATTCGATGGTGTGATGTATTTATCGTTTTTATTAGTCGAACATATCAACGAACATTCTTTTGCATGGAAACTATCAACTATGCAAAAGATATTCGAAAACCAATAATTGCCATTTCAGCTGAATCAAATTTTCAACCATATGGTGCATTAGGCGCCATTGCAGCTAGTGCTGCTCGATCAATGATATTGACAAATGATGGTATATCACAAAATGTTATAGCAGAATTATCAAATGTTATTTCAACTCAAAAGAATAAGAAAAGTGCCAAAAATGTTGTTGATCCAGAAAAAGTATGTTTCAGGAACAACTTAAAATAAAATTTATCAATATCATTTATAGATTGAAAACAATAACGATAATGTCAATCTTATTGATGGTGTCAAGGAATGTACTATTCTCATTTGTACAGTTGATGATGGTGCAACTGTTGGAAAATTGGTCTATGATGAATTCATTTCGAAAAATCTAAATGTTGGATTTGACAATCTTTCAAAAGCAGATCCAAAGTATAGTATAAGACGATGTACTGTATTTGTACCAATTCTTTCACCTCAACTTGAACGAACACCAATTTGTCGAGCAACATTTGAAGAAGCTCGTCGACTTCGAAAACCAATTGTACCTGTAATAGCTATCAGAGACTGGAGACCTGAAGATTGGCTTGGTTTAACAATTGCTGGATGTACTTTTTTTCGAATATTTGATAAAGAAAATGCATATAAACCATTCTATGATAGTAATCGTATGATTGATTTACGTGTTGAAGTTGAAGTAAGCTATGAAAATAAGTTCTTAATTAACATCTTTCTTCTGAAAACAAAAAGATAGCCTGTCGGCCAGCTCTCAGCCAAGCTGAACGTGAACAAGCAGAGATGAAAGTACTAAAAGGAAAGATTGAAGAATGTAAAAGTAAATTACGAACATGGCCACCTCCTCGTAAATCACGCACAATAAATCTAATGGCTGATCGACAACCAATTCGTGTCACACTAGAAGAACCAAGTGCTAAGCTTAATTTTACTCATATTCATCATTCAATCACACGTATGGATATGAAAGCACCATCACCCATGCTCGACGAATATGGATTACCAAAACGAAGAGAACTCGATTGTATGATTAGGTAATTGAGACGAAGTCAAAGAAACTTTATTTTGTGAATATTTTATATGTAGTTATCAGTGGGATAGTCAACGTCTTGTTCGTCAATTTTATGAAGATATGTCAATGCGTGAAATTAGTACATGGTTTGATATTTGGGGTTCAATGCAAGGCAATACTAATGAAGCCATGGCTACAGGTTTATCTATTGAAAAAGAATGTTGTTTGCTTTTTCATAATATTTGTATTTGCTTGTTAGGTGTGGAATGTGCTAAAGTGTTACTTGTCTTTCTATCTAAAGCTTATATTGAATCTGCTAATTGTAAAATGGAATTTCGATATGGTGTTAAGCGTGGAAAAGCATTTGTTATTATTCGAACAGAGCCAAATATTCAAATGGAACAATGGATGCTTGAAGCAATTCAAGGATTTCCTCAATATGACATTTTCTCATATAGTGCTTTAGAAACATTGATTAACTCAGTACCAACAGTAAAAATAACTTGAAGATTTAGAGATGATTCTTTGTAGTGCATTTGTATTTTAGATAGATGTAATTATGCAAGCTGTGCGAAAACTTGCTCAAGCACAATCACCAGATGTTGTTGATGATTGTTCAGCTGAATTATTTGAATTACGTTGTCTGCTTGATGATGCACGTGATGCTGTGAGTGCTGAAGCCGGACAAAATCGCTTCAAAACATGTACCCGTTGTAATCAACAATTTGACGAATACACACAGGGTGGGTGCAAAAACCATCGAGCATACTATGTTGGTGGTTCTATTATAGAAGGTCGATGGGTTTGTTGTCGACAGCAAGAAAAAGATTCCTCAGGTTGTACTCCATGTGATCATACAGATGCAGTTCGTGTTTTTACTCAAGATCCTTCATATGGTACATGGACATGGCAACCATCGTAGAATTAAAACAATAATTTCATAAATGTGACCATTTTCTTTTTAATAAAATGATTATGGCTTATTCGATTGTGTCCTTTTAGTTTCATATGAACAAGTATCGATTTCCATCACATTGACTGATAGAGGCCACTTCATCATATAATATCGAAACACTGTAAATAAAAAGATACTGAAAGTTAAAGTCGGTTTTAATACAATCTCAAATATATATATATATATTCTTTCCTCAGAATACCTATATTTTGAAGATACTATGTTAATATTGAATTTTTGCTTGAAAACAAAAACCATCAATGGATAACAAAGTTATCCTCTGCAAAATTATCCAGTAGTGGACCCTCTTCTTTAATACATGTTTTATATTGCAACACTCGAAGGGAAATAAAAAGAAACACAAATAAAACGCATATAGATAACGAGCATAGCAAATGTTTTAGCAATGAAAAATTTCTCATTCTTATATTTATTTGAGTGAACCTTTCAAATTATAAATATGCATTCAGGAAAGAAAACTGATGACGATCGTGAACACACTTTGCATCTCTCTATGTAATATGAATTGATGTTGAAAACCACTGATGATATTCTCGGCAAGTTTTTCTATTCTGTTTCCACTCGTTTCTTTTATTCTGTCATTTCTTTTTATTAAGAGAAAAAATGACGGAATACGGACGATCGAATAACAGTATTGCTGATGAAGTAATTGTCTGTATTACCGTTGCTGTAGAGATGCTACTTTCATAAAAAAACATAATAAAAAGTGTGTTCATACATTGAAAACAATAACGATAATTTCAATCTTATTGACGATGAAAATAAATACAGTAGTCTGATTCTTACAGTTAATAATAGTTTAACTATTAGAAAATCGGTCTACAATGAATATGCCACGAAAAATCTCAATTTTAAATTTGACAATCTTTCAAAAGCAGATCCAAAGTATAGTGTAAGACGATGTACGGTATTTGCATCAATTTTTTCATCTTAACTTGGATATATATGTTTATTTTCGATTGATGTGATTATGCAAGCTGTAGATGATGCACGTGATACCAGAAGTGCTGAAATCAGACGAAACCATTATAAAACATGTACTCGTTGTAATCAACAGTTTGATGAATACACAAAAGATGGTTGCAAAAATCATATAGTATACTCAGTTTAAATTAGAACCATTTTCATTGTTCATTTTGAATAAATACAAACCATATATAAGTTATACACTATGATAAATGCAGCTGAAATTTTCTTTATAATAGTAAACAAATTTTAAATCATGAGAAAAAGACAGACTAACAACATGTAACGCATGCGGATATTTTACATTATAGTTATATACTACAATAACTATTCATGCAAAACGTATCTGTTCATCGTCAATCATCCTAAATGTCTAACAATTTTTCTTTCTAGACGTTCGATTCAAAACATTCAATTAATTTTTGACAAAGAAAGGCGAGATATGATTTACTATGAAATCTAATGTAAAGGCTCAGAAATAAAGACTAAATTATATGATATTCTATGGCTTTAGTTTCATCGAGAAACTTTTTCAAACAAAATTAAATCTTCAACTGAGTTTATTATCTGTTTGCAAATCAATTATCTATTAGAATACATTGAACAAAAAATAAAGATTCTGCAACTAATGGAACTGTTTTAATATAAGCTAATGTTATTCCTTTCAAGTAGAATAGTTCGTTTTCTGGTTTTTGTTTTTGTACAATAAGATGAAATGCTAAAGTAATCAAAATATTATTGTTATGTTAATTTTGAATTTTGTGTAATAGCATAATTGAAATCAATTGAATATGTAATATTATCTTTTGAATCTTTTAATGTTTGTAAATATTCAAGAGAAGCAACATGCTTTGCTTGTCTAACATCTAATCTAGAGCACATAGATGATAAACCATTAATTCGAGCTAATTCAACACTTTTAAGTGTATCAGTTTTAGCTTCTTCACGTTTTAATTTTGATTGAGCTTCAGAAAATGCAATTGCTTGTGTTGCATTATTATGAAATTGATATACTAAAGTATCAGTTTGTTTTTTAACAAGAGCTTCTTGATTCACATATTCTTCTTTTTCTTTTTCTAAATCACGAACTAAATCAAGAAGGCGTCGTTCTATGACACGATCAGGAACATCGATATCTAACGCAAAAAGAATTTGGATTTTCTTCTTTTTTAAAAAGAACAATTTTCAATTCATTACCATGCAACACACATTGTTCATGTATTGGACATTTTGGACAATTTTTTCTACAATTAGGAATGCGACAAGTACCACCTATATAGAATATTGCTTATTTTATTTATAGTTATACGAATTCTGTTCATTTACCTAAATGACGTTTAACACCAAAATATATTTCAAGCCAAATTTTATTTCGATTATTTATAAATTCATCAGTATCGAATCGAGAACATGTTGATATAATTGCTTCTTTAGCATTCAAAGTAATCATTGGTTCATACTTAATATCATATGAAGCGTGAAGAAGTGGCAAATCTTCTTTGATAAGATAATATTGAAAATATATTTTCTAAAAAAAATATTAATATTCCACACGGATGTAACTTTTCGCAGCCGAATCCGAATAGCTATACTTGATACCAATCAGAGCTAACTGATATTCGACAGATACTTTCATGGTGTATGTTTTCTTGTTTCTAATGACGTTGCAATAGAACGAAAGATTGATGTCAAATGTCATGATTGTGAATATATACATTCATAGCGTCTTCAATCATAATAATTCATTTCCCTCACCATGTATTCAGTTACTTCGTCATCTTTAAAGGATTGCTCAGATTTTCATTTCGATGCTTTTATATAATTGATCAATTTAAAAGAGTAAAACTATTTTGAAACGCCGGGAGTCTCATTAATTGTTAAGTTTAGTTCGAGTTTGAGATAGTCTTCGGGATCCGAACTGATCCAGTGAGTTTGCACCCGGTGTCACACTGAGTGTGGATATAGAGAATGGTTCGTATTACTTTCTATAACTTTGTAACGTTATATGTGATGAGTGTGTAGTTTATTAAAACTTCTTAAAGAAATATTGGTCGATTTTGAGATTTTAATTATCATGTTTCTTCTGCTTACATCACTATTATTAAAAAGAACCATTTTTTTACACATAAATTAATATTCGTTGAGGTTTACAAGTGATGACAGGTATGACTATAGCTATATCTAATGGAAATAATGAAAATATTTGAAAATTTTGTTATGAATGAGTCTGCTATTTCACATTAATGAATTGCTGTTTATAATAGAGAAAAAAAATTGTTAAATTTTCAGTAGGAAATTGTTTGTTTGTGTACAGAGATCGATGAATTCAACTTACAAAATTTATAGATATGTAATTTTAACTTACTAGATGAACTTGTAAGTTATCTGTCGTAAAAACCGATGTATTACTAAAATTGACGTGATGTCCTGAAGCTTTGAATATTTTGAAACTAGATAAATGAAAATATAGTAAAATCATTTAACAACAAAAATTCTGATTACGCATAATCTGGTCCAAAAAAATATCGTCCACTTTCATAAATTCGATCAAGATTAACGCGGCCCGTGCTTCGACGGCGAAGAAAATCATACTCATAGTAGTCAAGATAAGAAAATGAATTAACTATAAGAGAGATCAAAACTACTATAAGAATGGTCGAAAGCCAAGGAGAAGACATTATACTACTGCTCGCCATGTTATCTAAAATTTTATTAATATTATTTTTTAAGGAAACATGTTTTTCTATTATCATCAAGCATAGGCGAAATATATGTATGTTCGTTCACACACACAATTCAAAAGCAGGTGACAAGAAAAAAGAAGATAATATTTTACTTTAGTGCAAGCAGTAGTATTTATCGTTACTTTCTCTTTTGCTCTTTGCGCTCAAAAGGCGGTGAAGACAAAATGAGAGAATTGAAAAAATGTAAAAATCGAATACGTTTGGAGTACATTTGCTCGACACATCTATTTGTTTACCTATACTTTTTTCATTAGTTTCTTTTACTCAATAAATCTCGTCAATTATCGAGCTCGGAAAATTTTTATTTTTGATTCGATTTCACTCGTTTATTTTGATAAAATAATCAGACATGGTGAACGATTATTTTTTTTGATCAACTGTATTCATTTGAAGAACAATATTTTATTTGTTATATAGTTATCTTTCATCATGGAGGAAGACAAAAAGAAAATAATATTAGCATATAGCATTAAAAAGTTCAACTTTTGCTGACTTGTTTCTTAACAATAATTACAATCTTATTTTCAAAACCACGTTTAACATCACATATTTTGACAAAATGAGACTTCCAAGATTATTATGCCAGATGATGAACTATAGTAATGCGTCATGGGTTCACTTTCTTTCTTTCTTTATTTGATATTAGTTAAACATGTGAATCTAAAGTTGACAATTTGTGTCGCAATAATTTCGAGAACGTAAAGTTAGAAAATATTCTTTGAAACATTAGGATGTGGATATCGGACTTGGCTATGTGAGTGTGAGTGATAGCGAGTATAAGGTCCATACTCATAATAATCTATAGCTACAGTCACATCCTAATTAGTACTCAACTAATTAAATAGGCTGCAACTGTCGGATTCGATAGTGTTTTCATAACGTTGATTTCCATAGGATTTTATCAGTTGGTCGGATCCGATTAGATCCGTTATCGAATTCATTTACCGGCGTAAGTGTGGGAATCCTTATTATCATTTTTTAGTCAAACACCAACATGCACATCCTGAAGAGAAGATCAATACCTATAACCAAAGCTAGAGAAACGTGTTAAATATGAATTTGCTGATGAAAAGTTATAACAACTTATTTCGACTTTTCATTTGATAACCAAAAAGACTTATACTTCAAATGAGCGACAGTTTTAGAGTCAATGCAGGATGTGAATGTAGACATAATTATTTAGGAATATTACTTTCTCGTACTTTTTGATTTGTTCATTGTGTTAAGCCAAAGTGTTAGGAGTTCAACTGTCAAGGCTCATATGTTAGAAAGACGTCTGTCGAGTTACCAAAAATATCGTAATATGTTATAGTCTGATAAACAACTATTCTTCTAATATAAGATATTGCCATTACAGAAAAGCAGGCCATATAGTAAACAGCAATTATTTATAAACCATTAACATACAGTAAAAATGGAGTTTTAAGAAGAAAAGAAACAACATAGTGTAATCTACTTGTTACTATACTCATTTGACTAAGACTACATAAAAAGTTGCTGGTAAAACAACAATCAGCGAGTTGTAGTTTGGTGTTTTAATGGTTATCTATTCTGTTACTGGCATTCTATTACAGCATACCGATAGTTGGTTTCTGATCATTGTTCGATTGCTGGTAAACCAATTTTAGTTAGTGCAAAAAAACTGTGCAACACATATGCTGAATGTTGACAGAATGTGAATACATCCAATAGTATTCGCATCTATATTAACAATATAAATAGCGCTATCATCTTAAGTTGACCTTCTCTGAGATCGAAGCATTTCAATTCAGAAAAATCTTTAACATTATGAAATGTATATAAATTATCATTGAGATCTATGTTCTCTTAGTAATATCAGCTCGAGTCTGCATATTGAAAGCAGATAATAGGATGACGAAAGAAACATTAAAACAAAATTTGTTGACTTGAAGGTCTACTATTGATCTAGCTGCTTAGCATTCTCTCATCTACTTTTTTTTGCTTGTACACCTGCATATAATCAGTTCACTTAAGTATGTTGAATATATAAATTTTTTTGAATTAAATGAAAAACGAATCATTTGCTTCTCTAGAAAGTGTGGCATAAGCGCCGAAGGTTATTAGATTGGTACTCAATTTTGAAAATGTGTGTCAACGAACATTTTGTATGATAACTAATAAGATTATTTTAGAAGACTTGAGACGCAGTAAAAGACATGTTATTGAATTGTATCTACTCTTTTGATAGTCCATTTGTAAAGATAAACTTTTTAAAATCAACGAACTTGATTCTTTTAAAAAATTTTTTACAACAAAATGCAAAAGAATTCTACCGAAAAAATAGCATTGTTTGCTTAATCGATACTTATCACAATTCATCATATACAAGTTCAAGCAAGTCACACATTTACAAATCAGTTTGAGACGTTTGTATGTAAGCAGGATAAAAATTATTGACCACATCAACATTCACATTCTATCATTTAGAAACTAACTTTAAAAATCTCCATTTTAAATACCTATATTGATATTTGTATAGACTATACCTTTTCAATGAGCTTAAATAAAAGTCTATGTGAATGTTTGATCTAATAAAAATATTCATAATTGAAACGAAACTAACCTATACTTTATTAGAAAACAATGATTATGAAAGCCTAATACAAAATGCCTTCTTAAATATTAATTTTCAGTTATTTAGTTAATCAATGTGTAATATCTGAATATTTTTTAGTTTTTGAATCATCAATCGACATTCGAATTTGCTGATATTCTTCTCCTTGTCGATATGTAAAATGATTCATTGCGAGACGATACGAATTATCTTCTAATCAATGAAAATGCAATTTGTCAATGAAGACTTCTAAATATTCATCTTCTGAAAACTCATCACATGAGAATAGAAAATTATCAATATCATCAAATTGATCTACAATATCAAGCATCATATCTTTTGAATTAATTGAAATTTCAAGAGTTTTAACATTTTGTGCGGTATGCCAAAAATTATCAATAGATAACGATAGAAAATCAACATCTAACCTAAGAGTATGAATTTGTGATAGTCTAACAAACAATGAATTATAATCCATAATAAGAAAATTTAATCTAGGACAATGTTTTATTAATATGTTAAGTTCATGTGTTGATAATGATTCAATAAGAAAAAAATCAAATTTTTCTATTTGATTAAAATCCATTATTGTTTTAAGAACATCCAATGACATAAGTGTTGAACCACAAAGTATTAATGATTTGACTTGTGTAAAACGATGAATAGGTGATATTATAAACCGAACAATGTCGATTAATAAAGAATCAATTTTATTTTCATAAAATAAATATTTTTCCATATCCGATGGTACTGTTATTATCGACGCAAAATTAGATGAAGGATAAATAATATCTTTGAATCGAAATCAAGTTATTGTATATAAGAATGTTTGATCATTCTCGTCATCATTATGATATCCAACATAGAAATGTTTTTCTCTAAGCCAAAATGATGAACGAAATGATTCGAGTAATATTGATACATCTTTATTAGAATTCAAAATTTGAAATTCAAAATTGAATATAATAATGTTTGTTTTTAAAATAAAATTTTTCCATTGATTACCATCAAATAAATCATTTTTATCGCTTGCTTGAACTGTTAGATGTGTTAATTGATGTAAATTAAAAAGACATTGTTCAAGAGATTGAAATGATACAACAATTTCTACAATATAAAATTGAAACATATATATATATAATAGAACATTTAAGTATGTGTTTTTTTTACCTTCGACAAAATGTAGTGTAAGATGAGTAAGACAATGAGAAAATTGTTCAAGATTTATTTTCATATTTTTATTTTCTTTATGAATAAAAAGATAAAGATATGTAATTGAACTTCCGAGATTTTGAAAAACTGAAGTAATATTAATATTTCTATACTTATTACTAAATCGAATATAAAAATCTTCGTTAGGAAAAAACTCACCATCAGTTGTCAAATGAGTAAGAAATGGATATTGAGTATCAATACGATTGAATGTACCAATTCTATGAACTTTTAAATAAGTCAAAACTTTTGCTTGTTGTGCAAGTAATTTATCAAAATCAAAATGAATATTTTGATGAATATCATATTTTATAAATTCAAGACATTTAACAGATTTCGGTAAATCAATTGTATAAGAAAATACTTTAATGAACGTTACAGATTGAAGATGAATAAATTAATGTTTGAAAAATGGAAAATATTCTTCAAATATTTCAACTTAATGAGGTATAGTTTCATCAGAGGATATAATTGAGATGACTTGTTTTGGTTGTAAATGTCGACAAATATAGTCAAATTCTAATCGAGATATTGATCGAAAATTGAGATGAAGTGAATATGAATAAACATAAGTATTTAAACAATTATTGAGATTAATGAATGATCGAAATAAATCATATGGTGATACATATTCAAATATATGAAGTACGATTTTACCTACTAATACGTTTTAATAGTGAAATTAATACAAAACTCTTCAATATGTAGACTTCAAACACTATTTATGTGAAAGATAATCAAGAGAACAAACAGAAAGAAAAAGTATAACAGTTGATTTCTTTTTAATGCAATAATACAAAACAAACGATTAAATAGAACATGAGACATATACCACGTTGCTTTCTATATTTGTTTTCCTTTACTATTGTGAAGAGAAATTCAAATGAATCAACACTGCAATGTGACGGAAACGAATAAAATGATTTTAATTAAAAATATCATTTGTATCAGCGAAAAAGAAAAGAGCAAAGGCGTAGTGGTATCACAGAGAAGCTAGACCTTGTTCTTCTGCCTTGTAATCTTGAATGACAATCTCGGAGTGCTCTCTCTGATCACAAAATTCCAAACATTATCGTCCCCTTCACATCTTCTACTCACCTACACTTTGCGAAACAAAAATCTTCAAATTTATGCCAGTAAATTTACATATCGAATGCATACTATCGCTCTAATATCTGTAATCCGTACCTTGACATTTGAAGGAATAATTTTTTTTGATTTGTTGAAGCATCAAATGTCTTATATACTTGTTTATCATGTATCCCTCTATGTAATGGTTTGAAGTGACGTTTGAAATGATGAGTATCTAACGAAATCCTATAGAAATAAAGGATCAAAGAGATTCTTTTGATCTTATTTTTTAACACCGCAAGAGATCCAGATTTTATGTGATTACGTTTTTGAAAAGTCTTTATTGAAAAATAATTTTTGAAAGCATATTAGGAATCTTTTTCTGAGAAATTACTTTTATGATTTCTCTGTCATAGAATCATCTGTTCATATTCTTGTTCAAGTAAGAGTGAAGAATAAATATTTCATTCTCATCTTCTGCTTTATTCTCAGTTTAAATCAAGCAGTTTACACAAAGACAAATAATTGATTAAACAAACGAAACTTTGCCAACTTTTGTTTACCGGCATTCTACATTTTTTGATACAAAAATATCGACTAGAAGTCAATGACGAACCAATGTAGAATTCTTTTATAGTGAAATTTTCTAATAACACTCATTGCTTCAGTAAAAAGGAAACCATTGATTGAATTCATTTAATAACACCAAAAATATTGTTTGTCATTAGTGTGGATTTGGCTCTGAAGTTATCGATTTCGATGTATAAATATATATCCGACCATTTTGACTGCTTTTTGACTTTTTCGGTGTCGAAGTTAGACGTTTCGGTTCTTCAAGTAACCAAGAACAATCTTCATCAATAGCAAAACGGTCTTTTTCTATTAGATTATCAACATGTTCCAACCAGACTTCTGTTGGCAAATAATTCACAGTGGCGTAAGATGATGTTTCTTGAATATAGCGTAGAAAAATCTGTAAATCAAGACGATCATGTGTCAAATGATCAACCCATTCAGTTTGACTGTGTGCATAACCAATAAACCGCGCGACAATAGCGTTGATATCCTGAATTTGTGTGCACATACGATTATAAAGATTAGTATGATGATGTTCCAACAGGCATTCATAGCAAAATGATAATTGACAATGATCACAATCGAGAAGATAATTGGATGTTGTTGAAAGACAAAGAGAACAAATACTATATTCTTTGAATGTGTCCATTACGAACGATAGACAGTATCTGCATATTCGTTTTTCATGTTGGTGTTATATATAAATAAAAACTCTTACTTCTACATGTTTTTTTCTCAAAAGCTAAGCTATATGATGTCATGAGTGTTTTGTTGCATCCTGTTTCGCAAGTACGTAAACATTAACCGTCACTGCTCTTTCTGACACACACATGGTGATGAAAATTGTGTAATTACGCACGAAGAAATTATACAGAAATGATGAAATAGCATTCTAGAGAGTGTGCGTGTGGATGTGGGTATGGGTGTGAGTGTGGATGTGGGGTGGATGTGGGTGTAAGTGAATAGAATGCTGTATCTACATCCACAGACACATCCCACACCGGCACCCATCCACACCCAGCTATGAGAATATATTTATTTCGTATAGATATTATGATATAATATTTTTGGATGATGATATTTATGGTAAAACAACAAGTAACGAGCGACCTGAAATACTTTTTTGAGCAGAAAATGTTACATTCAAAGATATACTAGAAGGTTTGTGCAAATTCTTTTTTTTTGTTTAATTCTTTTTTGAAATAAAATCAAAGGTTATGCAATACTTCGTTGTAAAAAAATTATCAAGAAATTGAGCAACGTAAACAACAACAAATAAATGAGCATGATATTAGTTTAATCTGTTATGTTGAAATTCCATTATTAATAATAACTGGAAATCAATTTATGGAACCATGGCATATATTACAAGTACCATCTAGTTTAAATGTTACAGGAAAAGATAAATCACAAAGATTACAAGATAGTTGATTTAATATTAGAAATAAAGCAAAATATCAAGTGATTGAAATTTTACTAATTAAATTACATCTACATTTACAAGAGATTTGATTATTTAAATAATAAATAAAATAAAATTTTATTCTTTTAGCATATTCGATGAGATTATCTTCAACTGATTAGAATTCCTGAACCAAATATTAGCCTACGAGATGAAGATGCGATTAGTATGTGAGTGTGGGTGTGCATGTCAGTGTGAGTATTGTTGCCATCTACATCGCGCATCCTCCCATCACCACACCCACATCCACACTCTTACTCTAACATGGTCATCTACCATTATTAATATGAATTCAACCATTTCTTCATAAAAATTTATTTTTTTTTGTGTTTCTACAGATTCATATATGAATTCAAATCATATTAATGATTTCTGTCGTGCAAGGCCTGTTTTGAAGAAAGCTACTCACCTCTGCTCCGTCACTGTTTTCTTAAGCCATCCGCTTGACGAAACCTTGAATGTTGATGGATGGTATTCTCTTTCGCTGAAATTTCTATTATTCTTTGTGCAACAAAGCGACAGCATGCAACATTTTTTTTGCTTAAATAAGAGAAGAGGAAAGAAAAAAACCGTGAAAGCCAGATAAAAATGATGGCTAAAACAACTGACAAACAGAAGTGCCATAAACAACCAATATTTGCACAGGTAAAATTTTGTAGATGTTTGTCCGTTGCGTTTCATTTCTGATCTTCTTACTAACGGGGCACTTTTTGCTAAACTCAGTTCACAACATGATTTCATTAGTTTCCTGCGCGTTTGAACTAAACTGAATGACAAATATATGAATCCATGATGCTAATAGCATCAAGGAGATTAGTGAAGGAGTTACGTAAAGATGCTACACCAAAAATTTTTCTGAATCCATTATTGCAAATCTTTTATCAAACGATAGCAAAGTTCATTGTGCCGTCCAAATTATTCCCATTTTTATGTTTAACAATTTGCTTGTTGATATTTGACCGCCTGAAGTTGTTGAGCAGACTTACCTTCAGGAAGACCTTCTTCGTCTCATATTTTGCACCGTCCCACTATATCCCACATCACGCAGCCCACTTAATATATTCAAACAAAAGGCAACGCCGAAATCGATCGTTCATATCTACGTCGATAATCACATAATAACTCACATTTTCATCCAATCCCACCCCCCTCCCTCACACCCACAGACAAAGCCAGAGCAGCAACTCGACTGGACACCTACGGATCGACAAGGGTGTTGGTGTGGGTGTGTGGGTGTGCGATGGGGTTTATATGAATGTTAAACAAACAGTAGCAGCCACACCTTCAGCCTCACCCATACCTACACCCCAAATTCCGCTTTGCGGGAAAGTGTCGCGTGCGGAAGTGTCGTACTTGGAAATGTCGGCGCGAAACTGTCGGTGCGGAGATGTCACGTGCGAAAATGTTGGTAAATCTAGACCCGCACCCTACCGCTTTATAACACTATATATTAGAGATGTATAGCTCATGCTCATGAGCATATGCGAGTTGCTTTAGTCAAATCGAAGAGAGAAGTTACCATTTTTTTAAATAAAGGATGAGCAAAGATAATCAGGATCGAGTAATCCGAATTTGTAATCGGTTTTTTGAAATTCTGAGTTTGATTTTTTTATTAAAAAATAGCTTTTTAGCTAAAAGGCTTTTTTTTGCAAAAGAATACTTTTTTCACGAAAAGTGTATGTTAATGCAAACAAAAACTCGAAGTTTCGAGAAACTGCTCATCTTGATGAGTGTTAGCTGTACACACCCAGTATAAACCACTATAAAGTGGTATTCGCCTATTACCAGCTGGTATCGCTTGATAACGCTTTATACCGATAAGAACCGATTATCAACAGAATAGTTGTCGACAAAAACTGATAGGACAGTCACCACTAAAAACCAGTTATCGTCATCTTTACACATCTATCCAAACATTACAGCAAGACCCACAGTTTCATCCTCTCACTTACAGCTAGATTCGCACTCATTCATACTATTAGTCTCACCCCTCCCTCACAGTCTCAAAAGCTTGTTGATAGGTACTGCTTCACCCTACTTGAATTCCAAATCTAGGCCTGAAGTCAAGTTTACGCACAGCAGTTTTTATATCCGCGCACCAGCTCGAACTCGTACCCACTCTGAAAAAAAGTAAGGTACTATACGGAACCAAAGATAGTTTCGTGTGCTCTACGAAACTTTAGAAAGATTTCGAATTTTGCAACACAATCGAAACCTTTTTGAAGTTTCATATAATACTTTTGAAATCTTCAAAAAGTATTCCTAGAGCTTTGACAATCATTTTGAACCTATCTTGGGTTTTTAGGAAACCTTAAAAAAGGTTTCGATTTCATTTCAAAAAGGTTCCGTACGGTACCACTTTTTTCAGAGCACAGCCAACGCTTACACACGCATCGACACTTATCCAATCTCACATAGCAACTAAGTGCCAGTGTTAAACGACAGATCTCTCCACGTCATGACACACACCCAGCTTCACAACAGCCCACACCCATAAACTAGTGAGCCATGTGCTCTGAGGCTCCGCCGTACGTACCCTTACGCAATTTGAGCAAAGAAGTATGTAGCTCGTAGGACAGACGACAAATTATGTTTGAAGTTCCTCTCATAGTCTCGTTCCACATCTTGGTCAATGCATACACTGTGTCTAGGGAAGCTGCCAAACTTTTCGTGGACGCAATCAATACATTGAGCATTTCTCACGCGTCTTCTTGTAGTTAAAGAACAAGTGAGGAGAGAATTAATAATTGAAAATTTTGATGACTACAAGAGTTTTATAAATCCGAAACCTTCGAGTTCATGATTCTGACTCGTTGAAACCCCGATTTTCAATAAAAATCAGTCAAATAAAGTAGCTGAGGTCACCTGAAGTTTGTTAAAGAATTAGTGTCAACTAAAGCTCGAAACGGGAGCGGTTTTATGTCCCACCCCACTCCGACCTTAGTTGTATTTTCTTCACTACCTAGTGAAGTATTTATGAGATATTTTTTCGTTTGGTCACATCATTCGTTTGACTTATATTGGAAAAAATAGATATAATAACACAATAGAACAAAAACAATATAGCTCGTCGTCAATCAATCTTTTACTTTGTTATTCTTTATCAAATGGAGAAATAAAATATTTTTCACAATTGTGACATGTAAATTAGATCTTTTCTGGTTGATAACTTCACGTGCTACAGAAAGTTCTCTCTTGATAGAAGCTGAATTACGTGGTATTAGATATATATACAACATAACGATTTAGAGAAATCTCGAAAGAGATTTCCGTATTCGTTCCAAATTAATTATGGATTTGAACAGTGTTTATCTTTGTCTAACTTGTGAAGCCTAATATTTATATCGATTTCAGCTTTTGTTACTTCATCGTCCATGAACTATTCAGGAAAATTTTTTTATTGAATCATTTTCAATATCAACTGTTGTGATCGAAGTCACTTTCGGCAAACTTACGCTGTAAGCACGATAATGTTTTGGTTTTTGAGCTATAGCAGCTTGTAGTAGCCATTTCAGTTTTGGATGAAGAAGTGGGCACTTGTAAGGGGTACGACAAAGGACATTGCAAGTTTTTGATTGATGGTTTTATCAAGATAGAATCAATCAAAAAGTTCAGTGCTAGCGATAAAATATAGAGAATTTTCCATCAGCTTTAATGATATGTTCTCTGATATGACAAGGTTAGATAGCTTTTTGCAGCACCAAAATTACTGAATTCCAGAAAAATGTCAACTGTTCAGTTTCAAAATCATGAAAATTTTAAAAGTTTAATTTTTCCAAATTATATTGAGCTGAAATTTCATTTTTCTTCCAATAAGACGTATAAAGCTGTGTAGCGCATCAAATGGTGCGCATAGTTGAACATTATCGGTGTATCTCTTATCAAAAAACTACAAAGCATTTTAAACGCATCCTCGCCTCAATCTGTATTAACATATACTTTCTATGTTTCTTTTAAGTAGTTAAGTTTTACTCACAAGTTTGGTTTCATAGCTGCAAAAAAATATGTTTCTCTGCTATTCTTAGTGTGTTTGAATAGCGTATAGAAAATTATTTAACAAATAAAAACAACATCTAATTCTTGCGAAATGCTTAGTACTTAATATTTTCGTGCCTTACAGCATTTTTGATACTACAAAGAAACGGAAAGTTTTTATTGAAAAAAGGGATGTGTAAATAAATTCTGCA